TGTTTATTCAACATGTGCTAGCATGTTCCTCTCAAAGTCAACCTGTTCTGTGAGTTAGTGGAGAACAGCAGCTAGAGGCTAATTTAGTAACATTAAAGTTAGTTAAGCTGATGGAAGCTCACCTGCTGTTAGCACCGCTACGAGGCAATCACAAGACTCCAATACACCTCCGATGCAGACATGACCACAAACTTGAAAATAAAATACAAAAGATGTTCCTAACAGTAATGTTTCTTCACTCAGTTTTCATCAGTAGGTTGTTAGCTCGCTGTTTTATGTTAACGTTACGTCTGTCACTGAATTTAGGGACCGTCTCTAAAGTTACATACAACATTGGTTCACACTTTCTGACTTAAATAGCATTTGAAGAGAATTACCTTACTTGTGATAAAGAGGCAGAGTAAAGAAGATAACTTACTATGCTTCTCTTTGTTCAATTAAGTTCGGCTAAATGACATTATTAACTTACCAGTTGATGTTATCATCGATACTATGGCATTCACAAGAAGAGGATCCAAAATACACCTCCGATGTTGCAGACTGCATCCAGACTAGAAATCTGAAAATAACAAACAAAAGAAGTACTAGAAAATACTGTTTAAAATCTCCACTGAAACAGTGGTTTGCCTAACGCACTTTACCTCAGTATTTCATGTTAATTGGCTGTTAAGGTTAAATAACGACTCACCAGAGGAGCTAACTTGCATTAAAGGGCAGCAGAACATACAAACGTGTTTCTCGGTTTAACTAAGGTTTATTTAGTCTAATATAGCTGACCTTAACTTACTCAGCAGTCGATGTTATCAGCCTTTTGGTGGCATTCCGGCCGTCACTCAGAAAAAAAGGCTCCGGACATGAAAAATGACACTATGAATAATTTTAGTTTGCTGTTAACAAGTGAAAACACCTTAAAATATTGCACAGAAATAATATACTGACCTTTCTTCAAGTTAACTGTGCATTTCTCTTTTGTCCTTTTACAGCCACTTCCACAAAACAGTCAAAAAAGAACTCCCTTGCCATTGGTCAGTTTTTCGCGGGCATATACAGTAGTGACTGTATATTTTCCCATAATCCTTTGCGGTTTACAGTAAAATACTGTATACACATTTTACAGTATCTTACTGTACATATTACAGTATAATACTGTTCAAATTACAAAAATCAGTTACAGTGTAATCAAGCTCAGATGAAGTCGTAGCAAATTATTGACAGCTTTTTTTTGTGGTAGGATACTTATAGTATGTGTATTTCAAAAGGTTTGACTTCATATATGTTGTATTTAAAGGTCACATTCTCTCCTGTTTCCTTTTGTAGTGTATTCTGGGATTTGTACTGTGCCGCTCCAGACCGCCGGGAGACCTGCGAGCACTCCAGCGAGGCCAAGGCCTTCCACGACTATGTGAGTGACATACAGCCTTGACAGTCTTTTAGCTGAGCTTCAACTTCTCATCCAATGACGATGTGTGTTGGGGGCAGGGCTTACCCAGTTTATTGATGTGAGTGTTTAGTGAATGATACGAGGCAGATTTGCTTACCAAAGTGTCACAGGATACATTAAGTGAGCTGAATAGAGGTTTTTCCGTGTGTGTTGGATGTGTTTTGTGTGTACATGAGTGTTTTGTTCTAGATCATGTTTCTTCCTGGTTGTCCTTTTTAAAAATGCTCATGGTATGTAATTGTGTGCATTAGAAAAACAAGTATGGGATGTTTATTTCAGTTTATTTTTCCCGCAGCGGCTTGCATAAAGCATAAAGCATAAAGCATTATAAAGCATCTCGCGAACACAGATTTGCGCAGATTCTTTAATTTGCACAGACAGACATGTAATCTGATTAACATACTGAATGCTGTGCATTCACAGATGTAATATTTCAGTAACAGTGAAAGGCATAATGAAATGTCAGTTGTTGTTGCCGGGATGCCCGCAGGCTTGAGTCAGAGCGGGAAGGATAGACGGATGGCTCAAAACAGGTTGAGTGCAAGCGTCTGGTTATGCATATGTTTGTTAAAATGAAGGTCATATAAGGGTTGTTGACTTTTGTGTTGCAATGTGATTTTTAATTCAAGTATTGATTTTCTTAGGCTTAAAAAATGTCAAACCTAAGTTTAAGGAATTTATCTGGTTAAAATGCGCATTATAGCCTAGATAATATGAATAGTACACATGAATACAATTTAATGATGCAAATTATCAATTATTTTACACCGTATATGCTCAAAATGCATGAAAAATATTATTCATTTATTTTTTTAAATTGTATATTATCCATTCAGAAAACTGTTGGTTTCGAACAGTTCACCCAAAAATGAAAATTTGCCAAAAATAAAACATCACAATAATTCACAAGTAATCCAGATAACTACAGTCCATCTATTAACAGCTTGTGAAGTAAACAGCTGCATGTTTGTAACAAACAAATTCATCAACTGTTGTTTCCGTTTTATTAGTTCAGAGGGCCCAACCTCTAGTCCAGGGTTCCTCAAATCTTGCCCTGGAGGGCCAATGCGCTGCAGAGTTTAGCTCCAACCCTGATTAAACTCACATACCTGTGATTTTCTAATGATCTTGAAGACATTGATAAGCTTGCTCAGGTGTGTTTGATTAGGGTTAGAACTAAACTAAAGTGGATCTCGTGGGCCAGATTTGAGGATCCCTGCTCTAGTCTGTCTGCTGAACTTGACTGGTGGCATTTATGGAGACGACAGCCCAGAACGGGCCTGCTCAATGTCAGGAGTTAAGTCAGCATCTGGAAGGAAACAGAACCAGTTTCATTCCACTGACCAACATTTCACTGACTTGTATAAAAACCAAATATTTGACTAAAATGTTTCCAGAGGAAATTTATTTTAGTATTAGTATGCAGTATTTTACTAATAGCTAATCGCGTACACCTCATGCATGTCGTCGCTCATTGATCTTAAACGTATTACTTTTTTAAATGACTTGGTTAAACATGATTAAATATGCACAGCCTTTTCATTAGAAGTGCAAATATTCAATTTTCCCAAACCACCAAAAAATTTTCTGATCAGAATGTTTTTTTTTTTATTTCATTCCGCATTTCCAAAACTTTCCCTTAATCTGTTTAAAAGAGCAGTTCATCCAAAAATTTAAATCCTTATATCGTTCCATCCCCATATGCTGTTGTTTTCAATAGAACGGTGTTATTTATATACTATTATTTATTAATATTTTGAATGAGCTTTTATTTTTACATTTTCAGTTTTCATTTTAAAGTTTTAAGTTTTAGTCATTTTGTTATATGCTCTTGTCATTTTTGTTAGGGTTTTTAATATATATTTTTAAAATTTTGTTTAAATTTATTTTTCAGTTTTTAGTAATTTTAGTAAAACTTCAGTTAGTTGCCAAGCCAACATTGCTTTACTCCGTACTTCTACACCGGATGCGAGCGGCGCGGCACAACAAAATTCTATAGAATCCATTATAATCAGCGATGCTGTCTACACTGGATGCGGTGCGACACGACAAATCCAAGAACAGTAATCTGCTGCCGCGTTCTATTAATGACGTACTGACACAAATTTCAAATGATTTTTAACGGTCGCTTTGTCACGTCCAGTGTAGATAGACTTTAGCTGTTGTGGCGCGGCGCGACAACTGTCGCGTCCGGTGTAGAGACGGTGTAATTGTCAAAAAAACAAAACACTGTAATATAATATTGTATAATGTATATATTTGTCACATTTATTTTCACATAGCTAAATATTATGACATAGCTAAAAATAAATATCTAAATATTATTACATCAAACCTGCTTCATAGGCTTCATATTCGTTCTGAGAGCTTTATGTACAAGTTATTGATTTCAGAAAACTTGGAATATAGCGTATGAGTCGAGGACTATTTTTGGAGTTTGATGTTGCTATAAACTATAGATTTTCAAGTATTCCACTGAAAAAAGTATTTTGTCGGAAACATAGCTAAAAATAAATATCTAAATATTATTACATCAAACCTGCTCCATAGGCTTCATATTCGTTCTGAGAGCTTTATGTACAAGTTATTGATTTCAGAAAACTTGGAATATAGCGTATGAGTCGAGGACTACTTTTGGAGTTTGATGTTGCTATAAACTATAGATTTTCAAGTATTCCACTGAAAAAAGTATTTTGTCGGAATGTGTGTGTGTGTGTGTGTGTCTGTGAATGTGCCCGTGTGTGTTGTGGAGCTGCAGTATCATGTGTGCCGGTCTTGGCAATGTCTTTGCTGCTACTAGGGTGTCCTTGAGTTCAGTGATTTATCATGTTTTTATTCTGATTCCTTGGCTCCCTTGTTGGGTCACAGCTCTGTAGAGGCCTGTGCTCTCTGTGTGTGTGTGTGTGTGTGTGTGTGTGTGTGTGTGTTTGTCTTCAGGCCTGCATTGCCCACACCTTCCTGGCTGCTTCTGCGCTGAAATCAAGACAGTCAGGAATCCTCTCAGTGTAAAATAATGGAATATAACGGTCTAATCCTCTAATCCCAGGAATGGTTGAGGGCTAATCCAGGGATTTTGTGGGATTGGTGTCTTGGCAATAGGGATGGAATTTTGGGACGCAACACCTCTAAATGCCAGAGTCATCTGTGTGCTCTTCACTTTCTGCCGGGCTTGAGTCATAAAGCTTCATAATGAGCATTGATTAAAAACGCCGCAGACAACTCACGACAAGCTTACACCTCAGATCTGGTTGACGATCCAAGTGCACGGCATGTTAGTCCTGCTTGTTAAATCAGGATGCAAAAATTTTATTTGACATAATATAATGTAGTATTATTATTAAATATAGCAAAAGTAATTTTTCCTGATTTTTTTTTTTAAAGGGACTAGAATAAAATGGTAAAAATAATAATAAAAATATTTAAATACATTTTTGATTTACTTGATTTTAAGACAACATTTTTAAAATCATGTAAGATTAAGACTCTTGTTATATATTTTAGAAAGAGACTTAGAAAGCGACTGCCATATGAAATCACATGACCGTCTTGAAATTCAGTTGTGTCATTAAACAAACTTCAGACAAATTTACATCAAAAGTATTTTTTTAGAGAATGCCAACCACAAATGCTATAACGAAGACTTGGCAAAACAAGTTTTTAGTGTGTATGTTTTTATTTGTGATGCTGAAATGTTCTATTACTGCTTCATCTGCACAGTTTCTTTCTATATTTCTTCTTATTTCTTTTTCCATTTTATAATACTTGGTTTACGACCTGTTGCTAATCCTTGTTATCTTTCATATTTAAAATTTTCTCTTTAATATTGGCAGCAACCTGGACATTTTTTTTTCTCAGATTAAAGCTTCCTAAAGGGATAGGTCACCTTCACTTGGTCCCCATTGACTTGCATAGTGTTTTTTTCCCATACTATGGAAATCTGTGGGGACCAGCAACTGAAGGTGAACTATCCCTGTAACGTTTTAATAGACGTTGCTTCATACACATTGAGGTTCGAGTCCTGCTTGCAACATATCCCGATCACAATCGTACTCTTTCTCCCCAGTGTAGATTTTTTTTTTAATGTCATAGTGGTAGAGTATTAGGATTCCAATTAATCATTTTTAGGGTTGGCGGCTGCTATGATTTCATCAGGAAGATTACTGTAGTAAAATATGGAAATTGCATACTGTATGTAGATATTGTGTATGTGCGTCTGCCTTTCTCCTTCCCCTCCCCCTCCCCCTCCCCCTCATTCCCTCTCGTTCTCTCTGGGGAAGATTGATTGGGTAATCTTGCCGTTTCCCCCATGATGCCGTTCGCTTGCTAGCTTGGGGGAAGGAGAGGCAGTGCGGGCAGTATGACGACACACAGGAATAATGATAATGAAGGAACGCGCACACACATGCACGGTTTCACCGGAGGAGAAGCGAGGCTATTTGTTAAGAGAATCCCTAGTTAAAGAGAAGACCATACGCATGTTCCTCTAAATTATTTTCTCTCACATATACTCTTTTATTTTTATATGGATATCGCAGGCAAAACAGAAGAGAGCTTTCTTCGTTATAGGAGAATTTTGTCAGCAAACATGAAACACAGACACAGGTTTTTTTATTGTTTGCTTGAACATGTCGCGCTGCCGTGAGTAAAAAGTTAAAGCCACTGGCTGTTTATGATTGCTATCCAGTGAGGCGCATAGGGTTGCACTGAGCATGCTCAGTAGTTAATATTTGATCCAGACTCACTGGAGGAGGACTGGAGTGGAGTATCAAGAAGGTAAGAGAGGGTAACAAGGAGTATTTGTAAAGGTACGTGAAGAGATTTTTCCTGTTCATAATCCATGTCCTAACCATTCACAATCCAAAATATGTTCACCCCTTCAGTTTTTCTAAATCAGAACACGTTTGATGTTTATTATAGAGCTTTAAGGAGCTGGATGTTGGTCCAATCAGCATCGACTGTGG